AGAAAAGCACTTTAAATTCATTCAGTTTTTATTTATTGGTTTTATTATTAATTATTTAGAGCGAAAAATTTTAAGAGACAGATATGTTTCGTAAAAAAAAAAGAAGTTGATTATAAAATTAAATAATATGGTTCTTTATTTGAAAAAATAAACTGACATAGTTTTAATGAGAATTAGATATAACAAGTAAAAAGAACTTTAATAGTTCATATTTGATATTAGCATGAATAAAAAGACTATTTTAAAAGGTATTAGTTATGCTGTAGCATGTATATTTATTGTAATTACATTTGCTACAGTGTTATTAATTATGTTTTTAAATGATGATAGGTATAATTCAGGATTAAAAGAGAAAGTACCATTTACATATGGGGGTTCAATGGCTGGTTATAAGCAATATTCTCCAGAGTCAAAGGCGTTTCAAGTAATTTTTGTAAGTGACGATGACAAATACAATCTAGATTCAACAAAAAAACAACATATTTGTAAAGTCCATTTTGGAATGTTATTTAAAGAAAAAGATGAGTGGACGTTTAGTGAATCTGTTTCAAAAGGATTTGATGTTGTTTCTAACTATTTGTATAAAACAAGAGGAAATGAGATGTCTGAAATAATTCATTTTTATGATACATTATTTGTCTTTGATGATAAGACTGGTATTGGACATCAACTAGATATTAAGAACAAAAAGTTTTATGCACGTGTGATTATGGCTGATGGAAATGGAACAAGTGATAGTGCTTTTAAACCAGAATGGGCTACTATTGTTGATGATACATTATATTTAGGAAGTCAAGGATTAGACTCATTAAATGTAGATGGAGTTATTGGTAGATCAAATAAATATTACGTTCAAAAGGTTAAGAAAAATGGAGTTTATGAAACTGTTGATTTTTCTTTCGTTTATAAGACAATTGATAATTTATTAGGTGTATCATCACCAGGGTACACTTCTATGGAAGCTGTAGTATTTTCAAATATTAATAGAAAGTGGTATTTTGCACCAAGAAAAATAAGTAATATTGCATATAATGAAACATATGATAATCTTTATGCAAGTGGAAAATATGTTGTTGAGTTTGATGAAAATTTCCAAAATCCTAGAGTTTTTACAGACTCACAGTTTAATAAGTCTCATGGATTTTCATCAATTAAATTAATTCCATATCAAGAAGACGTTATTCTTTATTTAAAAACATTTGAAAATGAAGATAAACTTGAAACTTTTATTGGAATGATGAATTTAGAAGGAAAACCATTAATGAAAGAGAAGTCATTAGGGACAAATAAGTTTGAAGGAATTGAAATAATTCCACTTGACATTTAATGAGTAATAATTCATTTAATGACAATTGTTAAATATTCTTTTACTTTTTTTTCAAAGTTTTATTAATTGTATCAAAATAAAACTCGAAAAAGATGAACTTTAAAAGAAGTAATTGAGTTATGTCGTCATTCACTACTGCCATGATATGTACTACGTGTTCTGGACTAGCAACTGCAATTGGTGGTATTGTCGTTTATTTATTTGGCGAGCCTGATTATAAAAAATTAGGAAAAATGTTAAGTTTTAGTGCGGGTGTGATGATTTATGTTTCATTTGTAGATATTTTAGAAGGAGCAATAAACTCAATAGGATTTTCAATACCAAACATAGCGGTTTGTTGAATACTAGCATTAAATTAAAAGTATTAATAGTATAGTTTTTTATTGGAATGATATTATTTGTTGTATTAGAGAAATTGATTCCTGAACCTGACTTATCTCGTTTTTTTCCAAAACCAAAAACTGAAACTGATGAACAACAACAAATAAGAAAAGAAAGAGAAGGTATTCTTATGCTAGGTATTAAAACTGCTTTTAGTATTTGTCTTCATAATTTCCCTGAAGGGATTGCTGTTTATATGGCATGTTTGCATGGTGTTGAATCTGGACTACCATTAATGTTAGTAATTGCTGGACATAATATTCCTGAAGGATTGGCTGTTGCTGCTCCAGTCTATTCTTCTACTGGAAGTAAATGGGAGGCATTTAAATGGGCATTAATATCTGGAGTGTGTGAACCGTTTGGAGCATTAACTGTTGGAGCATTATTCTATCCATTTTTAACACCATCAGCTATAGAAATATGTCTTTGTGGAGTTAGTGGAATAATGGTATTTATGAGTATTGTGGAATTAATTCCTTCTTCTTTAAAGTATATATCACCTGAGTCTTCAGCACAATACTTTTCATTTGGTATGGCGTTCATGGCATTTGGACTTTATTTTATGAGACTTTATTCTCTCTAATTGATTTTCATATTTATTCTGTTATTTATAACAAAAAATAAATATGGAACTAAAAAAATTAGAGAAAAAAAATAATTAAGGAAGTTGATGCAAGAACAGCACAATGTTGAAAAGAAATCATTTATACAAAAATTTAAAGAACGAATTATTCAATTAATCCAAACAAAGAAAAAATATTTATTATTTAATATTGCAGGAGTTATTATATGTATTATTTTATCTATCTTGTTTTCAATAAGTTTTTTAGTTATTACAAATAAACGAATTGAAAAATATTATGACTATCATGAAAGTGGACTTGATATGAGAAGTAATGCATTATTAACTTCTGTTAGTGTAAATGCACCACCTCATATTCAAACTTGTTTTGTATCTTCTATTCCAGATTTAAATGATTCTTTAGAAGAAACTTATCTAATTCGTAAAGAATATGATGTTCCACAAAAAAGTATATTTTTTAAGCAAACACTTCATCCAACATCTTCTATAGATTTAAGTTTTGCAGCAACAGATAAACATAATAAACCAACTAATGTTACTTTGTACATTTTAAAGGGAGATAAAGAATTTCAAAGATATTCATTAGGTTTAGTAACTACTCCCATTTTTCAAATTGAACAACAGTCTTCATCAAATGTAACAGAATTAAAATTAACACAACAAGTAATAGAGCAATTTTATTTTATATTTGAATCATATATTCCTAATACATCTATTTTAACAGAATTAAAAGTATCTTTTGGGCAATATAATGTTGATTCAATTCAACATATTTGTTATACAGGTTCAGTTAAACATGACTTTACTGCTGGAGAGATTATGATTGTAACAAATACTGAAAATATTTATTCTAAAGTTATAATGGACTTTAGTGGAAAGTTTGTAAATTTTTTTTAGAGGATATTTTGTTCGTTTTTTTTTAAACTACTTAATGGATAGAAATGTATTTGTTAACACAGTTATTCCACTTAGTGTTGTATTATTTATATTTCTTTTAATAACATTTTCAGTAATATCAAATAGAAAGCGTAGAGATGATGAAATTGAATTCTTAAGACATAACCAAACTATTCAAAATTCAAAACGGGTTGAATATCAAAAAATAGATGAAACTAATTGATTAATTTATGAATAAGTTATTATTTGTTAAATTATTTAAAATACTTTTGTGCTAATAATGCAATATTCTCATGTACATGAATGTCATCATCACAAATATTTACTAATTGTAATAAACATAATAGTCTTTGTTCATCATTTTGACATTCTTTTAATTGTCCTACTAAGTCATTATATTCTTTTTTTTCATTATCATTAAGAAAACATCGACATTTTTTTACTAGAAATGGATTTGCTTTAGAAATATGTCCATAACATGCAGTAGATCTATCTTTTCTTCTTTTAACAATAGTAGTAGTAAAAGGTCTAGAAGATAGTTTTTTAGTAATAAAAGAATCGTTAGTGTCATCAATAATATTTACTTCAATTTTTGTTTTAGCTTGTCTTTTTTCTTGTTCATCTGTTCTACCAATACTTAAACCATCTTTTTTTTTATCAAATTCCCAATGTTTTTCTTCATGTTCATTTTCTATATTTTCATAAATAAGTTCATCAGGAATATCTGTTTTAATGATAAAAGAATGATCAGATACTCCAAAAACATTATCAAGTTTTTCTATTTCTTTAACATGCTTATCTAACCAATCAGGATATTCAGGCATGTTTTGAGGATATAATGGTTTATATTGTTTAAAAATTAAATGTGTTTTAGAGTTATCAAAGTTAACTTGACTAGAATCAAACAATGTATATAATTCTTTTTTTGTAAACCAATGTCTAAACTTTTGTTTTTCTTTATTAGTTTCAAGTGTTAATTCTGTTAAAGTAGTTTTATGAACTTGTCTTCGATACATTTTTTCTTCTAGTGTCCCACATGTTACAATTCTATAAGAAACAACATCCTTTTTTTGTCCTATTCTGTACGCTCTATCTACTGCTTGGTTCCCTATTGTTGACCATCCTTCATCAAATATAACAACTCTTGAAGCTCCTGTAATGTTTAATCCACATGCTCCAACTCGAATAGTCATTAATAATACTCCCCATGATGACATATTATTAAATCTTCGTAACCGTTCTTTTCTTAATCCATCATCTAAATCACCATCTATTCTCAAAAACAGAATATCTTTCGATTGAAGTAAATCAGATATTGAGTCTAATGTCCTTTGATATTGACTAAATAATAATACTTTCTCATTTGTTTTTTCACACATCTTTAATAATTTTAAAAGTACTGTTAATTTAGGCCATAAATTTATTGTTTCTTCATCAACCATTTTGATTATTTCGTTATCAATAAATGGTTTAGTTTGATCTTCTAGAACATCTTTAATAGCAGGGGGATTACTACAACTCTTTTCTAAATAACTAATCATTCCAATGATAGCTCTTATCTTATGCATTTTTAATTCATTCACATTAATTGATCTTAATAATTTTGTATAAATCATTCTTTGGTTTGGATCTAATTTAACCCAAACAATTAATTCATATTTATTAACAGTAAGAGTAAGACACTTACTACTGTCTGAATTTTTTCCCTCTTCTTCATCTTTTTCTTGTATATTAAGACTGATAGATGTTGTTGGTCTATCATCACCAAATACATCTTTCTTTGTTCTTCTTAAAATATATGGTCCAATTCTTTTAGATAATTCTAATAATCTACGTTTAGCAAATGGACTTTTCTCATTCCTTAAATTTGCATTGGAAATAATTCGTTCAAAATAAGATTGAAACTGACTATAATCACCTAACAATGCACCATCAGTTGTAAAGTCCATGATATTCCACAGTTCTAATAAATTATTCATCATTGGTGTTCCTGTTGCAGCAATTTTGTGCTTTGCTTTAAAACCTTTTAAAACAGAAGAGGCTTTACTAATTCTTGATTTTATTGTATGTGCTTCATCTAAAATAATATAATCCCAGTTAATAACTCCTAAACTCGCTTCATCATTTTGAACAAGATTATATGTTGTCAATAAAATACCTCCACTTATTTGTATTGAACTGATTGCGGCTCTTCTATCTGAAGGTGACATATGATGAATACTATAAAGTGTTACTGGTCGACACCATTTCTTTGCTTCTGTTTGCCATTGTAAGGCAACCATTGCAGGAACAACAATAAGAAAAGTACGAGAAAAATTATTATTTGTTAATCCTAAAACAAAGGCTAATATTTCAACTGTTTTTCCAAGACCCATATCATCTCCAAGAATACAGCCATGAATTGTTGTTTCATTATGATGTTCCCATAACCATTTTATACCTGTACGTTGATGAGGTAATAACTGATTAAAAGTATCAACTGATAACCAAAATCCACCATTAAGAAAATATTTATTTTGGTTTGTATTATATACAAATCCAGATATATCATTAGTTGTTTTAAGGTCAACTTTAGACTTACTTTTCTCAATTTTTTCTTTAATTTGTTTAATTTTTAATGGTAATTTTTTGTGACTTGGTAGTAATCTTAATGCACTTTCATAATATTTTAAACTTTCTACAAAATCAAGTTTTGTCTCAAACTCTTGTGCTGCATAGATTAATGAATTAAACTGTCTTTTTTGTTCTTTTGTTAGAGTAGATTTCATATTTCTTATTTTTTTGAGTTTTTTATTTAATTTTTATTAAGGTTTCCAAAGTTTATTGTAGAAGAAAGTTCATTTATTATAGTATTTTATTATTATCTATTAGTAGATATTTATTATTTATTATTCTTTTTAATTTTTATATTTGAAAATTCATTTCTATTTATATTTTATTGTTTATTTTAAATTTAAATTAGATTGTTTTGAAACATAGTCTAATATAATTAAATACTAGAATCTGGAAAGAGAATAGAACAAAAGAGAAAAGGAAGATTAATAATGAAATAAATTAGTATTATGAATGTTAAAATGATTGAAATGATATTTTATCTTAGTTAGTTCAATTATTGAATACAATCATTATAAAATGATAATAATATCATTTCATTCATATTTAAATTTGAATAAATCTAATGATATAATGTAATATCATAGATATTTAATGTAAATAAAAATAATTTAAATAATAACAAATCAATAAAATTAAATGAAGAAATAAAAGAAATGTCAATAAATGAACTAATGATAATATTAACATTAAAACTGTTAGATGATGTTTAAAATAGAAATTAATAATAAATAAAGATATGAAAAAATAGAAATATAATAGAATAGAATAAAGATATATAGAAAATAAAGAAGAAATGAAAAAGAAATGAAAATCAAGCATAAATGATAGAAAAAAGAAGTGATAATGAATATAAACGAAAATGATAATTAATAAATGACAATACTAATAAAATTGATTTTAATTTCAGTTTATTATTCATAGAAATAAAATAATTGATATTGAAATGAAATAAATGAATAAAGGAATTAACTATTTGAAAATTAATGAATATTAAAATTAATACAAGTAAATAATCAACTAAATAACTATGAATAATTCAAAAATCGTTAAAATATAAAAATATCAACAACTCATTTTGTTTGAAGAATTAAAGTATAAATAAATTATAGTAATACTATATAAATAGGCAGTTGACAATTTACTTAGATATAATTATAAACAAAGTTGCCAACTATAAATAAATGTCTTGCAAAATAAATTAAAAATTAATGACACAACTAAAAAATCTTTGAAATAAAATGAAAACTTTGTTTATTGTCCGCCATGGACAAACTCCATTAAACAAACAAAAATTAATTCATGGTAGAAAGTATTTACCCCAATGCCCTTTAAATGAAGAAGGAGTTCAACAAGCTGAAAGGTTTTATAGTTCTCATCAAGACCTTCCAATCTCAGCAGTCTTCACATCATCGCTTTTACGTTCCCAATTATCAGTTCAACACTTTATTGAAAAATATCCTCACCAAATTTTAAAAGGATTTGATGAAGTTGACTTTGGGAAATATGAAGGGTTAACTATCTTTGAGAATGGTAAATGTAGATTAGATGAAGTATTTGATCAATGGAAAAAAGGAAATTATGACGCTCGAATTGAGGGAGGTCAATCATTAAATGATGTTGTTCAACAACAAAAAGAGGCTATGAAAATTGTTTTAGAAACAGAAGGAAATGTATTAATTGCAATGCATAGAAGAGCCTTAGTAATTCTTCTTTGTTGGACATTAGATATTCCATACAGCAAAGCAAGTGAAATAAGCCCAATGAACTTAGAGTTATTTACACTTCAATATAATTATGAGAGTCAAAAATTTATAGGTACGAAAGATTATTTAATAAGAGATTAATTTTTTAAAGTATTTTAAAAGTATTGTAATTTTCAATTATTTTACAGTTCTAAAAATATTTAGATAGAATATTAACGAAAATAAAAATAGTAAAATAACCATTTAATAAATTAAAATAAGAATAATAATAACTGTAAAATGTAAAGAATGTTAATTTTTATCATATTCATTATTGGTATTTATTCATATGACTGTTCACCTGGATGTTCAAGTAGTTGTGTTTCAGATGGAAATTGTGAAATATGTAAGGATGAATACTATCAAGATAGTAATTGTAATATATGCCAAAATATTAATCCACATCAATCTATCAGTGATAAAAATCCATTATTTATTAAAAGAGATGGTGTTTGTCAAAAATTTTATAATGTTTATCAAAAAACAAATTGGATACCTTCAAATGATATCATTCCTTTACCTTTTAATTCTCAACCCCTTCAAATATCATTTAATTCTTCTACATTATTTGATGTAGGACCTTGTACTTTCTCAGGAAATAAACAAAATCAATATCGTCCCGCTAAATGGTTAAAATTAGATACAACTGGAATGACAAAACAAGTTGTTGATATTCTTTTTACATTTAAAAGTGAGTCTAAAGTAAATGTTTATTATGACTTATCAGATTCTTCTATAAATGTTATTGAACCACACTGTCTTATTAAAGGATATTTATCACAAAATGACCAGTCAAATCATTTTAAATTTCCTGTTCCTAATCAACAAGAATCAGAATCTGCTATATTATATCTCTTTCTTTCAT